TGGAAAACGAAGAAGAAAAAAAAAAGCAGAAGGTTTTCAATGCATAAATGATATACTCAGATGATAATTGTTAAAGAATTCTCATAAGTGGCATTAAATATGATTATGTTGTTTTTCTGTACTTACAATATTTTGTAGCCACTTTGCTCTGGGATTTAAATGCCCTATTTAAACTTCATTCAGGGTCAGGTCTACGTTAAAATGCTTTGGAAGGCAAAAAATATATTGATGTCATATACACACTGGGCTTAATTAAAGGTTGACGAACAAATGCAATGCAAAACAGCTTTGTGATTTAAAATGAGTGCACAGATGACAACTTCTGTCCCTGCTACACAGAGCACAGCTACTAACTATGGTAGGCAAAGAGTAGTAATGGATGCATTTCTTCTGTATGAGGATTATACATCAAAATATTGCTTAAAAAATAGAATTAGTACCTATAACGTGTATTTCCATGTTAAGAGCGCATCACTTGGGATTATTTAAATTGTAGTATGATTAGCAAGCTCAGCTTGAAAAAGTAGGACAAAACTAATTATAAGGCATAGTACAATATTTGTTACAATTGTTAAAGTTGTTTGCCCATGGGCTTAACCCCTGAAACATTACCGTTTTATTTTGCACAAACATACAAACAGATATACAATGGATGGGCTGAGGGCTGGATAAATGGATGGAGTGCCAGGTAAGTGTATGGATGGATGGAGTGCCAGGTAAGTGGATGGATGGGTAGATGGATGGATGGATGAGTGAATGGATAGATGGATGGATGGATGGATGGATGGATAGGGGGGTGAATGGATGGATGAGTGAATGGATGGATAGATGAATGAGTGGATTGATAGCTGGATGGATGAGTGAATGGATGGATGGATAGATGGATGAGTGGATGGATAGCTGGATGGATGAGTGAATGGATAAATTGATAATGGGTGGATGAGTGAATGGATAGATATATGGATGGATGGATGGATAGATGGATGAGTGAATGGATAAATTTATAATGGGTGGATGGATAAATGGATGAATTAAAACTCTGGACAGAAAGTTTGATGAATGTTTAAAGTAAAATAAACAAGCAATTGCCATAGAGGTTCCCGACAGAGAAAAGGAAGAAATAAGAGGGAGTAAAGAACTCAGGGAGATTAGTCATATAGAATGTAAAGAATGTAAATACATGAGCAAAATGAGGATGTCTCAGGAAGAGAAAAGAAAAAGTGTTCTTAGGGGGGCAAGAATGCAATGTAAAAGGCGATTGATGACTTGTGGGAAAGGCTATGCACTGCCTACAGAGGGGATGTGAATGAAAGAAGGGAATCCTCACTCCACAATGTGGAGGAAGTTTCACACATAGGAGAGCATGGATCAACCTGATTGCAGTTTTTCAGGTGAAGCAAATCACCTTAGGACACCCGACTTTAGTCTCTAAGTCTCTATTTTAATCCCTCTACAGTTTCAGATGGTCTAGTTGACATATAGTGCTCAAACTGATGGATATCTTCCACTATTCTAGCATAGCTAGTGAGAGGAGTGTGTATTTCTTCAATTAAGGGAAATCTTCATTCATTATTACTTGATTTATAAATCCTTTGGATTTAATCATTAGACTAGCATATATTTTATGATCTTGCTAAATAGCATAAAGGGTATCTTAAATAAATAAAAATGTCCAGCACTGGTTTTGTATTTACGTTGAACCCAATGAATTTGATAAAGGATTTGCAGCTCCTGTTTTTCATGCTTAATATGAGCTTTGTGTTTAGTATTCCGATCAGAAGCACAGCATAAGTGAGGTAGCAAGTGACAGATTATGATAACTAGCAATTGATTATCAGAACTGAAAAAAAAAATAACACAAGAGTGTTTTTCCTTTAGTAGTCTGATAAGGGCATGACATTTTGTTACATGATTTTGTTCGGTGACATTAGGTAATTTCGCTAGCCCTTTGAACCAAGGAAATTAAGTTACTGTTACAAGACTTTCTACATCGCTGTACAATACAGTATAGTGCTTTTCGCTTTGGTAACAAGACAACCTGTATGTTATCTCCTCCAAGCAGCTCTACGACTGCAGTAAAGTTGACCAATGATATAGAAAGTGCCATCTGCTAAATAATTTGTAAGAAAGCAGCAGACACACTGCAAGCATATTAAGCAGAATTGTGTTCTTGATGAAACAGGCTGATGTTACATTTTTTATTTATATTTTATTCTTTATTTTTATTAAGTAACACATAGATTTAAATAAACATGTCACACAGTATTGAGTAAGACAAGAAAGATGATGAGCATGTAACATGACATGCAGAGAATGCTGCATTTTGTTTTCTGCAACAGCGTATATAAACATATCGGTCAGATGTGTCTTATCATTGGTCAAAATGTAAGCTTTATTATATATGGTATTCTTAGAATTAGTCAAGACACTTAGCTAAAGATTAGTACATAAGGTACCAACACATTTGTACTGAGAGCATAGACAGCAAAAATTAACTAGACGTGTGCTGACCAGAGAACACAATTGAAAACCACAGACATATTCAGCATGGCTGCATCTAGCTATTTGTACGAGAATAGAAATAAATGAAATATAATAGATAACTGAAACATAACGATCTGCTATAGGAAGTTCACTGCTAATCAGGCTTATAGTGGTCAAGAGGGCAACATAAAGCGCAATGGCTATAACTACCTGGCAGGTGAGTAAGCTGTCAGCCTACACCCAAGGCTGGGAAGCGTAAGGCAGGTATGTGTAGGGTCTCGGTGAAGGTAGTATAATGTGAGCAAGGAAGACCGGATACTCCACCCCAGGCTGGTATGCAGGCAGGCATCTTCAAACCACAGACTTGGGGGATCCGTAGGGCCCAGTCCATCCCTGTGAGGGAATAGCAGGAGACTTTGGTGGGATGGTCTTTTTCTTGTGTGGACGATGCTTCGGTGTACAACTCTTTGGGGCCTGCAGCTTGGGTGAGCAAGTATGATTAAAGATAGGTGCATGCACAGTCGCTGTGCCTGGAGTAGGCCCTACCTGTCAGGGATCCGCTAGGAGGGGAGGCTGCACGCCACTTGCAGCACTCACCCTCAGTCCATCGCCGCCCGCGGTCTCCCCTCCTCTTACCTGTCGGCGAGCAGCGTCTCCTCTCTGCCGCTCGCCGCTTGCGTCCTCCACGCCCCCCAGCGGCAGCATGTATAACGCTGCACGCTGGGAGGTCACTGAATTATGCAAACGCCGGGGTCACATGAGTGACCCGGCATTAAAGAAACAGTACCACAATCACAGTGGGAGGTATAGATATCCCCCACGTGTGATTGTTAATTCTGATTGGAAGTTATCCAATCAGAATTAAACCAAGGATATTTATACTTACCTTTCCTGTCCCTCAGTGCCCTGTTGTGGTCTTGTGATACCTGTAGTGCTGTTCTCTCGTGTTGCTCTCTGGTTTCCGATTATTTGGCTCGTTATTCCGATTATCCTGTCTTCTCCACTCCTTTGACCTCGGCTTGTTTCTCGTTCTCCCGTTTTCTGGCTCCCTTTACTTGGCTTGTCTCCTGACCATTCTTAGTGTGCTTAGCACGGCTACTCTAAGGACCGGCATAGTACCTTTCCTCTCTGTGACCTGTTAGCGTGTTAAGTTCTGGAATTGGAATCCATGCTCTTCTTCTCTTTGCTCATCTGCTTGCGGTGAGTTCTGATTCCAGCTTAGCCCAGAAGTGTGCAAAGATTTCCTCCAACCTCTGGATAGAGCCCGCTTTTGAGCCATGCAGTGTCTGTTTTCAGGTCCTGCCCATAGTGCAAGGATGCATCTGCCATCTTGGCTGATTCCACACAGAAGGGTTGATAAGCAGCGAGGAAGTTAAGTATGCTGGTCCAGTGGGGACCAGGATGAGCCCCCCCGGGCCAGAGGGTGGGAAGCAGGGCTGCAAAGGGTCTCTGCACTGAGGCTGTGCTGCACAGAGCAGGAAAGTGACCACCTCTCCCACCGGATGACCCCACTTGGCCTCACTGTGTTTTGGGAGTAACTGGCAGCCAGCACTTCCCAAGCCTGAATCTAGGCACTCCACTGGTAGCAGAAGGTGGGTAAGTCCCAATGAAAGCTGGATGAGAGTGCCCTAAGATGGTATTATGTCAGATTGCATTGAATTGTGGAGGAGCACTCACAAATTGTATCCGACTACCATGATGGCCAGGCTCCGCCTCCTGATGTTACATTTTTAAAAAGAACCCATACGAGCTGGAAACAATAACATACAGATTTTCTGAATACGATCACATCAAAGTAACTCTTGAATAACCTATAGATGTTGGCAACACTATAAATCTAAAAATTATATATATTGTGCTTTTATTTGTATTTAACTGCGCAACATCTTTAAAGTTACGGTAATGTTTCTAATCAATTTTTTTTTAAATCAAAACTATATATAAATATATATATAAACACACACACACATACAGACATGCACACTGCACCCCTCACACACATGCACACTGCACCCCTCACACACTCACCCCTCACATACAAACTCCACTACTCACACCCACACACATATTGCACCCCTCACACACACTAAAGCCCCTATCGCTTCTACAGCCCCTATCCCAGCAGATCCCAGATAAGTTGTCAAACTGTTCTTAAACAGTTTTACTATTTACTCTGGGAGGGCACTATGGCACTACTGGCAACATAACCACTATAAAGTGCTGTAGTGGTTATTGTGCCTGGATTGTTTCTTTAAATAATCTACCAGTGCACCACCGAAGATTAGTTTTTTGGATCTGTGCTTGAACGGCAAGCATTTCTGCCGAACAGGGGCCCAGTTTATGACACTACACTGTACATATATACAACCTAATTTTTTTTTTACTTGGGGTGCCTTTGAAAAATATTAAAATTAGTGATGTCTCGAACGGTTTGCCGAACGGTTCGCGAACAGTTCACCACGAACGGTTCGCCGCGGACTCATCATTGAGTAAACTTTGACCCTGTACCTCACAGTCAGCAGACACATTCCAGCCAATCAGCAGCAGACCCTCCCTCCCAGGCCCTCCCACCTCCTGGACAGCTCACTAAGAATGCAGCTTCAAAATGGATCCAGGAGGTGAGAGGGTCTGGGAGGGAGGGTCTCCTGCTGATTGGCTGGAATGTGTCTGCTGACTGTGAGTCCGTGGCGAACCATTCGTGGCAAACCGTTCGCGAACCGTTCGGCGAACCGTTCGGGACATCACTAATTAAAATATTAAGGGCACCTTGAACTTAAAAGTTTGGGAACCACTCTTCTTTAAAGGGAAACTATAATGTAACAAATCATCTTTTGTTATTATTTAAATACAGGCATGTTGCCCTCTTGACCACTATAAGCCTGATAAAAAAGTGACCTTCCGATAACAGACCATTATGTTTCAGTTATCTATTATATTTCATTTATTTCTATTCTCATACAAATAGCTAGATGCAGCCATGCCGAATATTCCAGTGGTTTTCAATTCTATTCTCTGGTTGGTCACACATAAAGGACCTCCATGGGAGCCGACTTTGCGACAGCAACCTGTACATGCACTGTTAAGTTAAAAACAAATTGGGAAAAACTGTGTGCCTATTAATCTTGTTAATTGTTAATCTAAGGGGAGGAGAGGGATGGGAGGTGACCACTGTATGATTGGTTACTGTAGTAATTATGAAAGTTACCTCCCTTGCATGGGAGAAATGCATAAAAGCAGACCTGTGAATAAAGCCATCAGTTGACTCCCAGACTATGTGTCGTCTAGTCCTTGGGGAGGTGGATTATGCTGTGTTCCTGTGATTTTGTATGCTGAATCTTTGTTCCCAGCAGGGAGCTATTGGATTAACCCCTGCTACTCCGCTACAGATACACTGACCTGCAAACAAACTCAGACACATTACACACATACACTGACCCATAAACAAACGCAAACACAAACACTGACCTATAACAAACACAGTGTAGTGGAACAGATTCCCAATATTTGTTTGTTGAGACAGGTGATTTGAAATGTAAAACTGCATTTTAATGTGTATGAATTCTGGTCTCTAAGGCAGCACCATTCCTGAGAAATGCATGTTCTGGGTGTGCCCCCAATTCAATTTTTGTCTTTACTCCATAAATAAATACAGATAAACTGGCACACATACAGTGATCCATAAACAAGCGCAGATACAATGACATACATACACTGACCTATATACGAAAACAGACACATTGACATGCATACACTGACTTATAAACAAACAAAGACATATTGATCCATAAACAAACACAGACACACTGACATATACACACACAAATTACAGATTATCTATCTCTCTGCACATTTCCATTACCTGCCACTACTCAATTGCTTCCTGGGCTTTAGTGCTGCAGACATGATCAGGAGCTGAGTGTTGACCACCAGGATATGACATCAGGTCACAGCCTGCACATCTGTTCATTGTAAGGAGCCACTATGTGATGCATCTGATTACTGGTTCCCAGCAAATTTAGAGGAAATACCTTCTTCTAAGTCAACAGCTTGCCCCAGCTTCAAGGGCTCACCAGGAAATATCCCAGTCTCCTGGTGGTCCAGTCAGGCCCTGGCTCTGAGTCCTCAGTAAACACTTATGATTGCTCTTTGGGGCATAGGCTGGAGAAAGAGAGCATTTCATTTTAAATGGAACTTGTAATAGTCAACGTTAAAAAAATAATTTTTTATGTGATCCACTGAACAATTTTCTGAGATATGCATATATCCTACTCTGTGAAAATGACAGCTCTTTATGCTATTTATTAGATGTTTGTCTTGTCGTGATATTCTTACTCTTCTTTTAAACACTATCACTGTGTATAATGATTATTTTCCAACATGTATTTTCGGAATATCTCTCATAGCAGTTTTGACATGTAAACTCCAACAAGATTGTTTTGTTTTTAGTTGTGTTCCTTGTTCTTCTTCCTCTGCTGTTGTGCTGTATTCAACATATCATTTAAATTGACATTGTTTACTAACTATAAACTATAATCTGTGTCTTGTCCAGACACACATTTTGATTTACTGATTTGAGTGCTTTTGTTCGTCAGATCTTGTCCAATCTTAAACCTAAGGCAGTTATTCCACTACTGTCCAACCTCTAAAGCCTATCAACTGGACCTTTGACAAAAAATGTTTTATTGTGTTTTTTATTAATGTTGATATCGATATGTTAATATAGTCTCACTAAATTCAGTCTCACAAATTAGGTTAACTGCGGTCTATATAACAATCAACAAGGTGATAAATTCATACACTCTGCACATTATGGTAGTATTCCATAACATTGCACATTTCTGCTGACCTTTATAACATACTTAAATGTACTGCACATGACTGCAGAGCTTTGTGATACACACTGAATATTACACCACTCTGCTAACATACCCAAACCAATGACCCATTTACATCTCCTATGTCAATTTCATAATGTATACCCCTATGTATCCCATTCCATTTAAATTTTCACATCCTTTGCTGAATATCTCCTTCTACCCAACATTTGAGAGATCTAGAGTCCCCACCAACCGCCAGACTGACACATATACACCGACTATAAACAAACACAAATACAGGGGTTTACTGTAAAACAATGTAACCATCTACTGGTTTGTAACCCTCCACTGGGGTTCTTCGTATTCAAGAACACTATACAATAAAAAATAATCCATTTGAGCCACTCTGATTGGCTACCACTTGATTAACCTTTGCAGCACCAGGGAGGTGTCCAATTCAGTCGATTTGTGGCTGAATTAAATTGACATTGCTATACGATATAATACATTTATTTCTTGTCACTGGATTACTTTATTAGTCATCCATCTACGTTGTTCCTGTCTATTTGGGTTATTCACTAAATTGAGAATTCAAGGTAATTTAAAGTGAATTTGAATAAGAATAATAGACTTACCTTCAGTCCCACAAACAGATACTTCTTCTGGTTCGAGGGCCGATCTGCAGGACAATGCTGCCCACTCTAAGGACATGCCCTTAAATACATTTGAAAATCATGACATCATGCTCTTAAAGGGACTACGTCATCTAGGCGACCCCATGCTGTTTGGAGTCGCAAAGATGACGTGGAGCAATGATAACATATCTGAAAGTATTTATTGCCTGTTCAAGTCCTTACTCACTTCCCTATCATGGTTTCTGTTTAGTAACACCTTAAGGGCTCCTGCGACTGTCTTGTGATATCCTGTTATTGACCTTGGCTTTGTTTTGACTCTGTTAACCTCTGGTATCCCGATCTGGCTTGTATATTGACCTGTGCATTTCTGGTATCCTGACCCGACTTGTATTTTAACCTGTGTATTTCTAATGTCCTGACCTGGCTTGTAGATTGACCTGTGCATTTCTGGTATCCTGACTAGGCTTGTATATTGACCAGTGCATTTCAGGTATCCTGACCCAGCTTGTATATTGACCTGTGTATTTGTGGTATCCTGACCCAGCTTGTATTTTAATTTGTGTATTTCTGGTATCCTGACCCGGCTTGTATATTGACCTGTATTTCTGGTATCCTGACCCGGCTTGTATATTGACCTGTGCATTTCTGGTATCCTGACCTGGATTGTATTTTGACCTGTGTATTTCTGATATCCTGACCCAGCTTGTATTTTGATCTGTGTATTTCTGGTATCCTGACCCGGCTTGTATATTGACCTGTGTATTTCTGGTATTCTGAGCTGGCTTGTATATTGACTGTGTATTTCTGGTATTCTGAGCTGGCTTGTATATTGACTTGTGTATTTCTGGTATCCTCACCTGGCTTGTATATTGACCTGTGTATTTTTGGTATCCTGCCTCAGCTTGTATTTTGACCTGTGTATTTCTGGTATCCTGACCCAGCTTGTATATTGACCTGTGTATTTCTGATATCCTGAACGGGCTTGTATTTTGACCTCTGTATTTCCATTATCCTGACCCAGCGTGTATTTTGACCTGCATATTGACCTGTGCATTTCTGGTATCCTGACCTGGCTTGTATATTGACCTGTGTATTTCTATTATCCTGACCCAGCTTGGATTTTGACCTGTGTATCTCTGATATCCTGACCCAGCTTGTATTTTGACCTGTGTATTTCTGGTGTCCTCATCCGGCTTGTATATTGACCTGTGCATTTCTGGTATCCTGACCCAGCTTGTATTTTGACCTGTGTTTTTATGGTATCCTGACCCAGCTTGTATTTTGACCTGTGTATTTCTGGTATCCTGACCCAGCTTGTTTATTGACCTGTGTATTTCTGATATCCTGACCCGGCTTGTTTTTAGACCTGTGTATTTCTAGTATCCTCATCCGGCTTGTATATTAACCTGTGCATTTCTGGTATCCTGACCCAGCTTGTATTTTAACCTGTGTATTTCTGGTATCCTGACCCAGCTTGTATATTGACCCGTGCATTTCTGGTATCCTGACCCGGCTTGTATATTGACCTGTGTATTTCTGGTATCCTGCCCCGGCTTGTATTTTGATCTTTGTATTTCTGGTATCATGACTCAGCTTGTATTTTGACCTGTGTATTTGTGGTATCCTGACCCAGCTTGTATATTGACCTGTGTATTTCTGATATCCTGACCTGGCTTTTATTTTGACCTGTGTATTTCTATTATCCTGACCCAGCATGGATATTGAACTGTGTATTTCTGGTATCCTGACCCGGCTCTATATTGACCTGTGTATTTCTATTATCCTGACCCAGCTTGTATTTTGACCGGTGTATTTCTGGTATCCTGACCCGGCTCTATATTGACCTGTGTATTTCTATTATCCTGACCCAGCTTGTATTTTGACCGGTGTATTTCTGGTATCCTGACCTGGCTTGTATATTGACCTGTGCATTTCTGGTATCCTCACCCGGCTTGTATATTGACCTTTGCATTTCAGGTATCCTGACCCAGCTTGTATTTTGACCTGTGTATTTATGGTATCCTGACCGGGCTTGTACATTGACTTGTGTATTTATGGCATCCTGACCCGGCTTGTATTTTGACCTGTGTTTTTATGGTATCCTGACCCAGCTTGTATTTTGACCTGTGTTTTTATGATATCCTTACCCGGCTTGTTTTGTGCATCAATATCTCTATATTCCTGACCTTAGCTATTCCTGACTTTTATTCTTTCTTGATTG